TGTGAAATAAGCAGAACCAGGAAAACAATATATACAATGACTACAACAGTCTAGATGGAAAGGACAATAACAACCCAAACTAAATACTTTATAATTTTAATGACCAGGTATGACCCTGAAGAAAAGATAAGAATATGCACCTCCCTTTCCTTTTTTTTCAAAGGGCCCAAGCCAGCCACATCTTCATTCCTTTCCAGGCCCCTGGCTCTCTGCCAGGCCACAGAAGCCTGCTCATCCTGGAAGTATCCTCTGCCCCTACAGCCCCTTCTTCTAAGAAGCTGGCTCTTCCTAGAAGCTCCATTTTAAGGAAAGTGTCTGGGCCAGCCTTGTCTTCATTCCTCTCCAGGCTCCACTACGGACTGAACTTTCTCATTTGTCAGTTCACTTCAAGGAAGGGTCCCCCAGAGCAGCCACACTGTTTCCTTCTTTCCTTTCTAGGCCCTGCTAATGATTCTCAGAACTTCTTTCTCCCGGGCACCCTCTCTTCAATTCTTTCAGCCTCCTTCCATGTGTTATTTTTTTCCCCATTAGAAAGTAAGTTCCTTAAGGACAGGGGCCATCTTTCTTTTCGGTTCTATGTGTATCTCCAGAGCCTAGCCCAGTAGCTGGCATGTATTAAGTGTTTAATAAATGCTTGTAAATTTGACTGATTCTCAGGAGCTTCTACAGTGCAGCAGAACCTAGACTGATAGTCAAGAGATCTGGGTTCTGGCTTGAGGAAAATTACTTAACCTCTCTGGGCATCAGCTTCCACATCTGTAAAATTAGGGTGTTGAACTAGAGAAATTTTAACATACAAGTTCTAACATTCAGCGAGTCTACAGAAGGATATGCCATCTATGTGCTGCCTTCTGTATATTGAAAATATACTTCTGGCCTAATATAAGTTGTGAATCTAATAAGGATGGGCTGCATTTCCTGACCCATGTTCCTTCATCTGGTCACCCCTGAAATCACTGGCACACATTTGCAAGACGGCTAACTGGCTAGGAGGCAATCTGTAGCTGTGATGTGAAACTAATTAACCCAACTGAGCTCTAGAACTCCAAATATGAGCATAATCATCACAGCCTAACAATTGAGCAAACCTGGACAGGCAATTCATTCAACCACCAACAATTTATTAGGGGCTATGTGCAGAGTACTATGTGAGGTGTGTTAGGAGAGATAAAGATTGAATAACGTGTCCTTGTGAAGGTTACCATCCAGTTGGGAGACATAACATACACAAGATGAACCATAAGCTCATAGTGTGTAAACCAAAGGATTTTTATATATATATATGTTTTATTTATATTTATATATATATATACACACACATATACATACACACACACACACACACACACACACACACATATATGAAAGGTAGGGAAGGGGGGATCATTACTGACTGAGTGGAATCAGAGTGATCTCTAGATGTATCATTTGATGTGGGCTTTAAAGGAATGGTAGACTTTCAACAGAGTTGTGAAAAAACTTACAGATAAGGAAACTGGGATGCAGTGAGAAGTAAACCTAGATCCTCTGACTCTAAACCAGGGCTCTTTTCCTCTATGCCAAAATTTTGGCTTTTGAGGGAAGAATATATAGAGAAAAGCCTGTGGAAAAGGAGGCTACTGTGGTATACATACAGAGGAAAGTAAACCAACTAGATGAGCTAGAATGTGGCCACACAAGGGGAAGCAGTTTGTATTAAGGCTAGTGGTGAGTTACAGTGTGACCAAATTCTGAAAGGCCTTGAATGCCAAAGGAGTTTGAACTTTTAAACAATAGGAAACAGGATTGTGTTCCCCATGAGGTCATTGGTATCTTCTTTTTACAGCAGCTCAGTAGCTTGTGACTGTGGCAGTGAACAAAGGAAGGCAATGACAATTTGTTAGTTGATATGAAACAATCCTTTCCACTCCATGGAAGATCTAAAAAGGCTCCTTGGCCACCAAGGGAAAACTGATATTACTCAAGTCAGGTGGGTATAATTCACCATAAAAACGAAAGATTTACTCAGATGTGTGTCCACTGTGTGGAGGACAGATAGCTTAGTCCTGGCAGGTGTGGGAAGAAAACGAGGGACTGAGAGAGCGGTTCCTTACCTCAGGGAACTCTAGGATCAGTCTAGGATAAAAGTTGGGAACAGAGAAGACTTTGGTAACATTTAAACCTGGGCAAACCAAGGCTACAGACTGCTATCAGGCCAGGCTACTGAAGGAAGACTTCCTTGAGCCTCAAGCATTTCTTTAGAGTTAAGCTCTTCAAGGGCAGGGATTGTTCCTGGCCTTATTTCTTTAAATCCTCAAGCTTAACACAGTTCCAGATACTTAAGCACTTAATAAATGTTTGTCATTCATGATACTTCTTTTCCAATTGGTCAAGAAGCAGGGTGGGTACTCTCTAGACCTTTACACACTAGATCTTACTCATTTAATAGATAACCTCATCACCCAGTAACCAACCTGGTGATAAGTTAAAAGTTCAGTCATCAGACAAAGAGATATCTTTACCCACTGGGCTTTGCTTCAAGCCTTTCTAGCTTATTAGGACCTAGGTTCACCTCTGAGCCAGAAAAACTTTAGCATTGTTCAAAGGAGTAAAGATTTAAAGCAAGTAACCTTTGAGAAGCATCTAGTCTTCATTTTACAGAAGACGAACTAAGGTCCATGGAGGCTATGTGACTGTCCAAAATTACTCAGGAAGAAGAGACAGTCAGAATTTGAACTCAGGTCCTCTGATTCCAAATCCAGCACTCTTTCCCAAAAATGTACTTCTTCAAAATGACCCTGTGAGGCATTTTGTAGATGTGGAAGTCAAGCAAAAAGTTAAAATTATTTAGATAAGCAGTCTCATCTTGTTAGGTTGTAGGGTCAAGAACAGAACCCAAAGCTTTGAGCTCCAAGTTAAATGTTCTTAACACTTGGTCAGGCTGCCTAAGAGAGATTCAATCTTTCTCACATCCCTAGCTAGCAGAGGATGGGCAGGTTCTCTAACAGCCATCTGACAGGAGAAATAGAAATACGTGACAGGCAAGACTGAGCAACAGTCTGTAGCCAGTGAAAGGGTCAGTGAAGAAATAAGATGGGAATAACAATGCTTACTTCAGTGTCATATTCATTCCTCCTTAATTTTAAAAACTAGCTGGGAGGAAAAAAGATAGCTTTGCTGAAACCTCCCTGACTCTAGCTCTCTCATTTTAAAAACTGCTTCTCTCTATGAACAGAAACAAAAATGCCCTCAAATTCTAAGGCCACATCAAAAACACATTTAAATGCCTACATAGAAGTACCTCTCCTCGCTCCTTTCATTTTTGAGAAATAAATACCTATTCTATATCCATTCTATTTTTATTCTAACAGGAGAGGCTTCTTGAGGGAAGCCAAGTATTACACAGGATAGCTCACCAGGCCTGAAGTCAGGAAGACTCATCTCTTCCTAAGTTCAAATCTGGCCTCATACACTTGCTAGCTGGGCAAGTGACCCTGGGCAAGTCATTTCACCATTTACCTCAGTTTCCTCATCTGTAAAACGAGCTGGGGAAGGAAATGGCAAACCACTCCAATATCTCTGCCAAGAAAATCCCAAATGGGGACAGGAAGAGACACATATTTGTATAAGGTTTATGGTTAATTCATGGAATCACAGTTGCTCCATAGATTCTTAGCCAAGGCAGGGGTCTTCCATTACAAACCAGTGGCTCTTATCTTTTTCTAGTATAAAGGTCGATTTTAGAGTTAAAACCACACATAATACTGATGTACCATGACTATCTGTTGAATATAATGACAAAATGCCAATGCTTGATATACTTTGACTTGTCAGACATCTAGTAATCACTGCTTGGGACCTGCTATATTCCAGATGGTCTCTTGTTTGTCAATATGATTGCATTCATTGTCTAGGCCAGAATTATATGTATGACAACAAAAACATATTTCCATGGTGTTTTAAGATTTACAAAGCATTTCTGTTGCAACAACCATGTCAGGGAAAGAAGGTGAAGATGACACTGTAAGAGAAGAGAGGCCTAGACCTTCGGTCTGAGGCAAGGAGACGAAGACTTCCCCAAGACGTATGTAAGGGTTTGGGGTAAAGTGGAACATCCCTCCTGGTCTCATCTGTTAAGGGACTTAGATGTAGAAAAGGGTGAAAAGGTTATTTTTGTCCCTTGTTTTGCCTAAGAGAGGGGGGACAGACAGAAGTCAGGAAGACACGGGTTCAAGCCCCACTTGTCTAAATGACCTAAGGACGTTGATGGCACAACTGACAGAGTGCTGGGTCTGGAATCAGAAAGACCCAAGTTCAAATCTGCCCTTGTGACACTTACTAGCTGTGTGACCCAGAGGGCAACTCACTTAACCTCCCCTCCTCAGTTTCCTCAACCCAAAAGGGATATAAGAATAGCAACTACCTCCCAGACTGGACATTGCCCGGCACTCTGTGGGAGCTTAACGAATGTTTCCTTCCTACTTGACCTCTGGGTCTAGGCTCCTTCTAAGACTGGAAGATGCACCAAAGGCGACGATCTACGTGAGTAGGAGAAGGTTCCTATGCTAATGAAATCACAAGGCCAGTTTAAAAAAAAAAAAGCCTGCCTAAACCGGCCCTGGCCCCTATTAAATGGAAAACGTCAGAGTCGTCCGCCACTCCATTCTCCCAGCCAGCAAGGGCTGGACGTGGTCAATGGGCGATGAATGGTCTGACTGACCCCCGGCTCCCCTCCCCCACGCCGGAGGACCCCCGGACCTTGGGGGTCCTGTTCTCTCCCCAGCTCGCTCCACACCCACGGTCAGGCTTGGCTCACGCGTTTTTGTTTTGTTTTGTTTTGGGGGCAGTCGTTCCTATCCCGGACTCGGCGCTCCCCGCTTCTGCAGCCCGGCCTCTCCCTCTCTTCTCCCCCAGCCGCCAGCCGCCAGCCCCCAGCCCCCGCCCCGCGGCCCCACCCCCGGCCACGCGCCCCGTCCCGCGCGCCCCGCCCACGCTCCCCGGCCGCCGCGGCCGCCTCCTACCTGCCCGGGTGGCCGCCTCCTGAGGAGCTCGCGCCCGCGTGCGGCCTCCTCCGCGCCGACGGCTCCATGGCCTGCGGGCCCGCCTCGGGCCCTCACTAACTCGCTCCCCGCCCCGCCCGCGGCCTCTCCCTCTCCCGCTCCGCGGCCTGCAGAGCCGGGAAGCGGCAAGCGGCGAGCTGGACCCCAGCCGAGCCTGGTCTGGGAGCGCGATCCCGCGGGTCGGAGGGGGAGGGGAGAGCGGAGAGTCCGCGCTCCGCCGAGGGCCCGGCAGCTGCGCGGACAATGGGAGGGAGGGAGGAAGGAGCGAGAAAAAGGGGAGGAGGCGGAGGGGGGGCCGGGGAGGGAGGATCTGGGGGGAAGGGAGGGGGAAGAGGAGCGAGATAAAGGGAAGCAGACGAGGAGAGATAAACGGGAGGAGACGCAGGAGAGGAGGGGGAGGAAGAAGGGAGGGGAGAAGAGAAGCGAGATAAAGGGGAGGAGGAAGGGAAAGGGAGGGAGGATGGGGGAAGAGGAGAACTGGAAAAGAGGAGGGGAGAGGGAGGAAGAAGAGAGGGGAGAAGCGAGATAAAGGGGAGGAGACTCAGGAGAGGAGGGAGGAGGAAGAAGGGAGGGGAGAAGAGAAGCGAGATAAACGGGAGGAGGAAAGGAAAGGGAGGGAGGATGGGGGAAAAGGAGAACTGGAGAAGAGGGGAGAGGGAGGAATCGCAGGAGAGGAGGGAGGATGTAGAGTGGGAGAAAGGAGGGGGAAAAGCGAGATTAACTGGAGAAGAGGAGGGGGAGGGGAGAAAAGCGAGATAAAGGGAAGGGGACGGAGGAGGGGAGAGGGAGGGAGGATGGGGGGAAAAGGAGAACTGGAGAAAAGGAGGGGAGAGGGAGGAAGAAGAGGGGAGAAGAGAAGCGAGATAAAGGGGAGGAGGAAGGGAAAGGGAGGGAAGATGGGAAGAGGAGAACTGGAGAAGAGGGGAGAAGAGAAGCGAGATAAAGGGGAGGAGACTCAGGAGAGGAGGGAGGAGGAAGAAGGGAGGGGAGAAGAGAAGCGAGATAAAGGGGAGGAGGAAGGGAAAGGGAGGGAAGATGGGAAGAGGAGAACTGGAGAAGAGGGGAGAAGAGAAGAGAGATAAACGGGAGGATACGCAGGAGAGGAGGGAGGATGTAGAGTGGGAGAAAGGAGGGGGAAAAGCGGGATTAACTGGAGAAGAGGAGGGGGAGGGGAGAAAATCGAGATGAAGGGAAGGAGACGGAGGAGGGGAGAGGGAGGGAGGACCTGAGGGGAAAGAAGGGAGAGGGGAAGAGGAATGAGATAAACGAGAAGGGAGGGGGGAGAGAGGAGCTAGAGAAAAGGGAGAAGAGGAGGGAGGGAGGATCTAGGCTTAGGGGACAGAGGAAGAGAAGTGAGGTAAAAGGGAGGCAGAGGAGAAGGGGGAAAGGGGTGAGATAAAGGAGAGAAGGCAGAGGGGAAAGGAAGGGAAAAACGGAATGAGGGAGGAAGAGGAGGTCAAGGGGGGGAGAGAAGGAAGGAGGAGATAGAGGGGAGGGAAAAGGAGCTGAGGGAGGAGGGAAGTAGGGAGTGGGGTAAGAGGAGCCAGATAAAGGGAAGGAGGAAGGAAGAAACAATAGAGGATAGCGGGGTGAGGGATGAGGGAGGAAAGGCTAGAAAGGGGCCCAGAGGAGAGGGCGTAGTGGGGAATGATCCAATAAAAATGATTAGGGTTTGGTTTTGAAATGCTGCAGGTGTGTACCATACTGAGCATTTGGGGATTTAAAGCAGTAGCTGGGGTTACTTGACCTCCTAAGTAATCACAAAATAGCATTTGATGACTGAAGAACTCTTCCTAGATCTCTTTGAGGGAGGAGGAGGAGGTGTTGAGATTAGAGGGTGGGAAAAGCTAAAGGAGATAGGAGAAGGAGGAAAAGAAGGATTTCCAGATAAAATAGGGGGGGAAATCAGAAATTAGGGTTTTTAATTTAATTGCATGCCACTCCCACACTCAACAGTTATTTTTCTTTTCTTTTTTTGGCTAGGCAATGGGTCACACATTGCCCAGGGTCACATCTCTAATAAGTGTTATGTGTCCGAGGCCGAATTTGAACCCAGGTCATCTTGAATTCAGGGCTGATGCGCCACCTAGCTGCCCCTGAAACAATTATTTTTTTTAGTAGTGTAAGGGGGGTTGATCAGGGGAGTATGGGAAATTTCTTGAACCCTAGAATCTATTTGATATGTATTAAGAGGAGCTAGAGTCTTTGAGGTTAGGGACACATTCCCAGCATTGAATATAAACATGTGGTTTGGAGTATTGTTAAGAGAACAATTGACTACTCCTGAAGAGTAGCTTCTAACTGTAAGACTGCTGCAGTGTTGCAGGAGAATGGACTCTTGTCTCGGTGGGTGTCCTTTTGCACCAGTCTATGAGGCAACATAATAAACCAATCTGATTATATGTTACTCCCCGTCATGCATTCTGCCCTTCAGAGAAACTGATAGATAAAGCCTACTTTCTATTCCTGGGACATGATTTCATCTGCCTTTGTTCTTTGCATTGGCTTTTCCATACCTAGAGTGCTCACCTTTGCTTTTTGAAATCCTTAGCTTCCTTCAGCTCAAGTGTCATATCTTTGAAGAAACTGGATTCCCCAGTTATTAGTGCCCCTCCCTGAATCACTGCACTTATTGTATGTCTATTTGTGCTTATTTATCTAGGCTCCAATAGACTGTAAACTCTTTGAAGGGAGGGCCTCATCTGATAGAGCAGTTCCTCGAAAAAGTTAAGTCCTTTCAGTCGTTTCAGTTCTATTCTTTACAATCTCGTTTTGAGGGTTTCCTTGGTAAAGATAGTGGAGTGGTTTGCCATTTGCTTCTCTAGCTCATTTTACCGTCGAAGCAAACAGAGTTAAGTAACTTGCCCAGGGTCACACAGCTAGTAAGGGTCTCAGGCTGGATTAGAACTCAGTCTCCACGACTTCAGGCCTAACACTCTATTCACCTTGCCACCTAGCTGCCCAACACAGTAATATTATACTTTATTCATATGTTGGAATTTATTTAACTATTACCTATCAATGGACAACTATTTCCAGTTCTTAATTACTACAAAAACAATGATACAATAAATATTTTTGTGTATTTTTCAATTACTTTGAATTTTTTGTTTTCTTGGGATATATACATAGCAGTGGGATCTCAGGATCAAAGGGTAGGGACAGGGACTGGACCTGTGATTTCACTGAAATTATTCAACTGACTTATATGAACTGATGCAAAGTGAAATGAGCAGAACCAGGACAACATTGAATACAGTAACAGCGATACTGTAAGAATGAGCAACTGTGAAAAACTTAGCCACTGATCAATTCAGTGATTTACAACAGTTCCTGAAGACTCATGAAGAAAGTGCCACCTACTTCCAGAGAGGACTGATGGACTCTGAGTGCAGATTGAAGTATTTTTCTTTTACTTTATTTTTGTTGCTTTGTTTCTTGCAACATTGTCTAATATGGAAATATGTTTTGCATGACTTTCATATGTATAACAGGTATATTTCTTACCTTCTTAATGGGTGGGGGAGGGGGTAGAGAGGGAGAGAATTTGGAACAAAGTAAAAATAAAACTCCCTGATCCCTCTCAAAAAAAAATTATTCGACTGAAGCTGCTTTCTCCAAAGTTATCAGTCATCTCTTAATGGCCTTTTCTCAGTCCCTATCCTTCTTGACCTCTCTACAACCTATAACACTGTTGATCACCCTTATTTCTTGGATACTTGCCTCATTCTATATTTTCCTGATGCTGCTCTCCTACTTCTCCTCCTACTCATCTGACTACTACTTCGGTTTTCTTTGCTGGACTTTGCTTTTAGTGCTGGGCCTTCTTCTCTCTATATACTTTTTCACTTGATCTCAGCAGCTCCCATGAATTCAACTATCATCTATATGCAGATGATTACCAGATATATTTATCCAAATAAAGTCACTTTCCTGAACACTGGAAATCCCAGATCACCAGTTGCCTCTTGTACATCTCTTAACAGGATGCCACATCTTAAACTCAATGTATTTAAAACAAAACTCATTTTCACCCTAAACGTACCCTCCCTTCCCAACTTCCCTATTATTGTCAAGGGTATCACCATCCTTTCAGTCACCTAGAATTGAAACCTTAGTGTCATTCTCACCTCCTCATTTGCATTTGCCTTACATATCTGCTCTTTTGCCAAGGCCTGTCATTTCTGCCTTCAAATCTTTTATGTATGTCCCTTTCTCTCCACTCACACAGCCACTCCCGTGGTGCAGGGCCTCATCACCTCATACCTAGACTTCCAGTGGGTTCCAGGTTGATGTCCTTCCTCAAGTATCTCCTTATTCCAATTCAACCTTCATTCAGCTACCAAAGGGATCTTCCTAAAGCTCAGATTTAATCATGTCACTTTCCTAATCAATAAACTGCAGTGGTTCCTTATTATGTGCAGGATCAAATATCCCTACTGAGCATTGATACAAAAAAACCTAAATATTAGCAGAGAAGTTACAACAATGTATCACAAAGATTATTCATGATACTAAGTTGGATTTACAACAGGGATGGCTTAATATTAGGAAAACTATAAACTTAAGCATATTTATAACAAAAAATAGCAACACAACATCAGTTTCTGTTAAAAAAACACTAGAAAACATGTAAATGAGCCCTTTTTTAACATGATTATGTGTGCGTGTGGTTAATAACGCCAAGGTCCCAAGTTTGTTCATATGGGTCATTTCATTTTTGAGGGCAGCTAGGTGGCACAGTGGATAGAGTGCCAGACCTACTGTCAGGAAGAGTCATTCCTGAGTTCAAATCTGGCCTCAGGCACTATCTCTGTGACCCTGGGCAAATCACTTAACCCTGTTTGCCTTAGTTTCTTCATCTGTAAAATGATCTGGAGAAGGAAATAGCAAACCACTTTTAAGTATCTTTGCCGAGAACACTCAAATGGGGTCATGAAGAGTCAGACATAACTGAAAACAACTGAATGACAACAAATATATCTAAAACCAAGAGCCAGCATCACATGAGACAAGGATAAACTGGAGTTCTTTCCAAAAAGAATGGGATAGAATAGGGATGTCTATCATCATCACTTCATTTTGACATAGGACTAGAAATGCTGGCTATACCAAGAAGCAATAAGAAAGAATTTGAGGGAATAATATAGGTAAAGAAGATAATATGATAGATAAAATGTTCTTAGAGAACACTAGAGAGTCAACTAAAAGATTAATTGAAATAACTTAAGCAAAGTGGCAGGACATAGAAACACACAATTCATTAGCATTTCTGTATAATGCCAATAAAACCCAGC